ATCCCTTATAGTGAGGGCACACGCCGAGACACACACACATTTAACATGTTATGCTGTTTGAATACGAGAAGGGAAACAACGCCTCTGTAGCCACAAAGAATATCAAAGAAGTGTATGGAAATGTTTTGAACGTTCATAGTGCCAACGATGGTTCAGCAAATTTCGTTCAGGTGACTTTAGCCTTAAAAACTGTGATGGCAGAGCCGACATGTTGGAATTGTCTGAAGACGCTTGTTGAGTCTAACCCAAGGCAACACACTCGTGAAATGGTCCTGAAATTGCATGTCTCTCTAGAAACAATAAGAAACATATAATGAATATGGGAAAATTCGATAAAGAAGGTGTTTGGGTGCAGCACGAACTCTCTGATGATCATCGTTTTCAACGTGTGAACGTTGCTTCGTCTCTTCTGACGCGTAATGCGCGTGAACAATTTTTGGACAGAATTGTCACCGGTGATGAAAAATGGTTTCTCTATGCGAATATTAAACACCAAAAACAATAATTCAGTCCTAGGCAAAAACCACTTCCGACCCCAAAACCTCGACTCCATCCACAGAAAGTGAGGCCTTGCATTTGGTGGGACATCAAAGGAGTAATTCATTTCGAACTCCTCAATCCACAGCGAACTGTCAATGCAGAGATCTGTAGTCGGCAACTGGAACGTTTCAATCAAGTCCTTCATCAGAAATGCTCTTCACTCGTCTGTTGGAAAGGTCTTCTTCTTCTTCTCCACAACAATGCACGTCCACATGTGGCACGTTTGATGTAACACAAGATAAAAGCTAACCAGTATATAGAAATCAATATGGTCATTTCTCTCAGAGAACATGTGTTGCCCACATCATGGTTGGTCCTTCCACTGGTAAATACAAGAAGAAGGTATCCTTCAGGCGTCACATGAAACACCAATGAATAAGAATACTGATCTAATCTGTATAGTGTATTCAACTATGCATTCCTAGAGTAATATTTTGCATGAGAAAATGCACTTGACACCAATGACCCAGAACATTAGGTAACTAGAGCAAAAGCAGTTTAACAAGAGTTTAAAACTAGTTCTTTACTATATAAATTACTTACACTACAAAAACATGTACATATTAAAATTTTTTTATAATTCTAGGTGAATTCAAAATATTTACTGATCTAAACAAGAGTGCAAAAGAAACACCTGGTAGTCTTGAATATGTTCGAAAAATATATCTTATTTGATGCAAAATATTTTCCACTTTTTTCCTTATATTTGCTACCTCCTCATTTATTATAGAAATTCTCAAAATTTTTAGTTATGACTTAGAATGGCAGTCATAAAAGTTCCTTTTCACCTTAATTACCTAACATTCTAGGTCACTCACCTAATGAATCACCTGTCTTTTTGCATTGGAACGAGTCCTGTAAAGCTATACGTATTATGTGAAAGTAGAAAGTGATATTTTCAACTGACAAGTCAGGTCACCCCTCGAAGATATAAACTCCATTTTTATTTCATTTATTGTATTTTTTTCTGAGTCTGGAATGGATTTAGAGATTTTGAGAACCTCTTGATTCTATAATGCATATACAGAAACTTTCTCCAGTAATGGTGCCATTTTTTGTGAATGCACTATTTTTGCATATTTTATTATCTAAATATAGTTTATTTAATTTTTTCATACATTGTGTCTAGTCTCCTTAAATCTACAAATTCAATTAAAGACAGATAATTCAAATTTTTCAGTGATAAGTTTCTGTCAGACCTCCATTATTGTGTGGAACCTCCCTGATAACTCTTAAGGGAAATCAGAGTACCTTAGAATACCACAGAGTTGGTAGGAAAAAGAGAGTTTTGGTACCATGAGCACAGGATATGTTATCACAGAGTTTTCTGTTTTTCTCTTGATAGGGCACATCACTGTGCTCTTAATTCTTGTGGTACTAAATTTAAGAAAGCTTCATTCTTAAAGAAATGAGTCGAAGAGTATATGACCAAGGGGAAGAGTAGGTCACTGGAGGTATACAGTTGTCTGAAAGAGTTGTAGGGTTTCGCAGAAGTTCTCTCCTAGACCTCAGACTTCCATAACTTATATCATGCTGTGCCTGCAGACTCAGGGAGGAAAATCCTGGGATCTGGTACACCTAGAATGGCGGATCAGTTTCAATGTACAGCTGACTGAGGGTCATTGCAGTGGTGCTACATCTGGCAGATCTGAGACTGAATGGAGTGATCTCTTCAGGACTCACAGGCCTTTGCTTATCAGAGTAACACAACCCTAGCTCTGGTTGAAGCTAGCTTATATAGGCTGGAGATGTTAATGGCGGACAAAATCCACCTGCTGGAGCTGTTTTTCTATCAGATGAGATAGGAAGCACCAACTGATGAAGTTGGTAGTCCATGTACGTGGCAGTAATGTGCTAGGACAACCAAGAACATGAAGATGTCTGGGTTTTTGCAGAACTCATTGTTTCACCATTCAAATATAGGGACATATTGCTTGTCCTAGTGTAGGGGTACCTAAATTTGCTCACTATATATACTGTAACCTAACCTTGATGCATTGGGCGTTTCATCCTAATGTTGGCTGACAATCAGTGGGTGATAGGCTTTTATTGCAATCATAGGTCTATGTGGTTAAGGCAAAGCAGATCTTGTCCCTGATGTTTACGGTTGCAACAAAGTATACCTGGAGTATTTCCTGAAGCATTTCAGGCAGGTTATCATTAGGAATTTCTGATCTCGGTAACAAGTGAAATGCCTGATCTTCAGCTCAGATGGTCAAGCCCTCGATTCTATTATGCACACCTGAGTAAGGTGCAACACTGGGAGTAGGACATATTTGTGAACTAGTTAGACCAATGGCAAAGTTTAAGACCTGAAGATTGGCGCAACCAAAAGTTGACCACTTACATGGATTATCTGTGTTCTCCAAGGAGTGACCTAAGGAAGTGATGAGGCATCATGAGAGACATTCCCACACTAACAGAAGCAGTTTCTGTTGCAATGAGGTTTGAAGTCATAACTTTTAATAAGTCATTAGAGAAGAAAAAGGCAGGTGCCACAGCAAAACCTCGAATACATTTACCTACTCAAGTGCCGAGCTTGAGCTATGTCGACAGTATATCAACCACCAACATATCCCTGTTCTATGACACAACCTCACTGGTTACTCCCGTGATGTCTGTGCCACAGTCTTTGCCAATGATGCCGCCACCCAGATGTTACTATGGAAGGGAGGATCAAATTATTTGCTTTGGGTGTGGACATTTGGGTCATTTTAAAGAAAATTGTCGATACATAGCTGTGCGGCAAAATAGACAAGGCTATCTGTTTCAGCTGACTGAACAGCACATGCAGAAGTGTCAACAGTAAACAGTAACTGCTGCTGATTCAACACCAGAAAGGTGATGGTGCCTAAGTCAGGCCTGGTCATCAATATGAGGGAGTACACCAGAGAGCTTGCGCCTAAACGTTTGGTGGTAAGCCCAACTCTCTAAGGGCTGGATGGCATTTGGCACATACTTGTAAGATTTTCTGAGGTGCAATATCTTTGATGTTTCACTGAAATTGCTCATCATATCTAGCGTAGTAGCAGAAATTCTATGGAGTGGACCCCACAATCATCATTAGACTATCCCCAGTACAATGAAATGTGTATAACTCCTTCATGTGCAGTAAGGGAGTTGTGTTAGGCTGTTGTGAATATAAGTGTAATAGTACTTGTTTTGCTGGGTTTGCCTGTCCTTATTTTCTATGACACCAACTGTAGTGAGTGCACTGATTGATGTATGGCAATACAGTATTGCTACGACAGCGGAGGTCACGTGACGCTAGTAACACGTCATGCACTTCTTGAACGTTTACGTCCCTTCCTGAATGCTCGAGAGCCTACTAGATATGCGGTAGTCTTGTATATATAAGACGTGACGGGATTAATGTAATGCTGTGTAATTGAACTGCGGACAGAGAGAGAATATTTAAGAGAATTTCAAAGTTGTATCGAGAAAGAATAAACTAGTTTTATTTAAGAAAGTACTTGTGTCGCTAAAGTTTCATCGGAAAGAAATTATACAGGAAATTAACTAACGACCAGAGACGCAACAATAGCTTGCAACAATACATTAGATTGAGTTTAATGCTTGATAACTCTCTAAGAAATGAGAGACTGACATTTAATTTAATTTTCCTTGTGATTCTTATATTCTTAAAATCATATAATCATTGTTTACCAGTTATCGAAATGTTATTTCATACAATATTTACATTTATACGACAACAGAGGAATAAATATTTACTCCACTCTACCTAATTAAATTTGCTGTCTCGAATAATTCGAGTTAGCTGTTATATTTTCGTATTTGTTTTTTGTTGGCCGATTTTAGGTTTAATAAGTACACGAACACTAAGTGACATTACTATATTCCCATTAAACAAAGGTTATAACTTATTACAAATATATATATAGATATATATATAAGCGTTTGTTTTAAACTTACCAAGAATAAAGATTGTGAAGTTGTCGTACGGTATAAGTTTTTCGAGTAAGTGTTTTAATATTAAGTTGACTGTATTCTACTAATAAGTAATCTATCCAAGTGTTTTACTACTTCTATTATTAATATAATATAATAATATACGTGAAACGTACGTATTATGTTATTTGTAATATACAAGACAGACAGTTATCGGTGTTAAGTGTTGTCGTTACGATGTTAATCTTAAGTTAATATACTAATTAAACTCAAACTTAAGTTAAAGAATGTTGGAATCTGACAGGTAAGATTTATAAATCTCTAGTACATCTATGTGTACAGCATTCCTAAGGAGAAGACTAAAGTCTTAGTTATTAGAATTTAGTGGAAACCCTATTTAGCGTGTTTATTACACAATTTACTTTGTTTAAAATTCATTATTAAAAAGTTGGCTTTATATTTTTATAATTTCATAATGTTTTTAACTTAAGCTAAGGATAAAAATTAATTTATTCTTTATTCCTTTATAGATTTATCATGCTTTGAATACTAGTTAAGTAGTTTATCAAAGAAAAGTAAATGCAATGAATAGAACAGTTCTGGGGATCTAACAGTAAGAGTTCTGTGTTCGTCAATCACCTGTGATGCAAGTTGTAATTAATTAATAAACTATGAAACCTCTGAAAAATATTTAATGTATGTTTTTATAGAATACTGATAATAAAGTTGTTCATCTTCTAACTAATATAAACAATATTTCACCCATACTGGCTGACCCCAAACTAGTTGGGATTTAAATCCTAAAAAAAACACAATGTTTCACTGAGTACTGGTCCTAGTCCTATGTTTTTACTTTTCATCACATAAGTTACATATGTAAATCACTATTTTACTTTTAGGTCACGTGTAATGAGCTACATGTGTATATACAAGTGTGTGTGTGTGTATATATATATATATGTCATAACATGATTAAATCCATTACTGGCATCAGTAATTTTTTCATATTTCTGAGGGAACTAGCTTAAGTTATAATCATTCTTTAACACTCTTAGACTACATATCACCTTTGCTTGTGTGAAAAGCTTGGATACTTTCATAATTTTGTTAAATAAGTTTACAATGGTTCTGAATGGTACTGCCATTGAGTTTGATTTTCAAATGGTTTACTGATGGTTAAGCATTTTATGTCACTTGATAGCTTGACTTCTTGTACGCCTGTTGAAATTATCACATATTGTTGATACAGTGATTTGTAAATAAGTACTATAATATATAAAATCATGGACAACAAAAGACCACTTGACCTTTCGAGACTGCCCCTGCATATCCATTCCTGAAAAAAGTAATTATTTAAATCCACCCTTTATTTTTCAGAAAATCATTTATATCCATCTTAAGCTCTTCTGAGCTGCCAGCTTCCACTACTGCTAACAGCAACTCATTCCATAGGCTACTCACCCTGTTATATAATTAAAACTGTCTTAACTGAAAGAAACTTTGTCTGTCTTTTCCAAATTTTGTAATTTTCTTCTATTTTTCAGAATATGCCACAAAGAAATCTTGATGCTTTTATCCTTTTGATCCCCTGGATAATTTTATAAACTTAAATAAGATAACTTCTTACCCTTCTTTTCTTAAGTAAAAATAGTTTAAAAGATTTTAACCTATCCTTATATGAAAACCTTTCCATCTCCAGAATCATTCTAGTAGCTTTCTTCTGAACCATTTCTAGTAAGTTAGTATATTTTCTTAATTAAGAAGACCCACACTGCACATAGTATTCCAAGTGAGGCCTAACAAGTGATGTATGTAAGAATGTAATTACTACTTTTCAATTTTAATCAGTATGTCTATAAGAACATTATAAAATTCTCCTAGCTTTCTTACTATTAGTATTAACAGAACACTGCCTCATTGTTTTATGATTTATCTACCACTATGCCAAGCTCCTTTTCATTCATGCTATTGACTGGGTTTCCACCAATAATGGCAATATTATACATATGATCCAAATAAACTATAATAAAACACATGCAGTATTGTGCACTTAAAATAATTAAATTTCTTTTGCCAAATATATGTCCAACTTACCAATTTGTCAAAGATGTTCAATATTTACAAAATTACCTTTAGAGTAATTGCAAAATATTGCATTTGGATTATACATTTGTACTGTTGGAAACCAAATCAAATGCATGACTAAGAAAAGGATTTTGGCATAGTGGTGGAAAAGATGTAACTTTGTATGTGTTTCTGTACCTTACATTATCAAATTTAAATAATCAGGCCCGTACACACAGTGTTTGAAAGGAGGATTATAATTTGTGAGATCAAAAGCCAACACATATTGTACGAAGCATAATCAGCATGCTACTGCTACGGGGGTCTTGGGGCATGTGACTGTTTCAAGCCAAAAATTGTTAATACTTCATCAGAAGAATGTAGACTATGTAGGAAATGTTAACTACCATAAGCAGCTGTGCTATAACTATATAAACATAATTATTTTACATAACAAAAAAATGGACCCCCTCGAACTTCCCAAGCATATGTGTGTGATAATATGCAATATAGTTATTTATAGTATTAGCTAGATTAAATATATAACAATTAATTTCATAAATAGTAATAACTGCATTGGATAAATGCAATAGACATGCATGGACTGCATATACATGTGACAGTTTTGCTTTGGTGCTTGGTAATTATGTTAAGCTAGCCCAACCTTGTTAGGTGTTCTTGGGTTAAGACCCAAAACAGCACTAGCACGAAGGGAACCCAATTCATGTCCTAGGGCAGTGTGGCTATAGCAGTTTTTTGTAATTTGCCTATTTCTCATAAATAAAACTATTATTAATCATGATTATTATCATAGAATTTTAGCAGCTCTTCTGGTAGAAATTATAACATAACTACTCAAGCCATTGAAGTAGTGCTTTGTTACTAGTTTTAGGGTGTATTTATAAACATATTGATTACAAGTCATAAGAGGTAATTATTTATATAAATCACTAGTTAGACCTCAGTTGGAATACTGTGTACTGTTTTGATCTGCTTATCTAAAAAAGGATATTGGCTTATTAAAAAGGGTTCAGAGGATGGCTACTAGAATGATTCTGGAGATAGGTTATAGGAATAGGTTAAGGTCTCTTGAGAAAAGAATTGGAAGTGGTAATCTTATTGAAGCTTACAAGATTAGCAAGGGATTGATAGGATAATGGCAAATGATTTCTTTGTGCTTCTTTCTGAAGATGGGATGAGGGGACACAAGTTGAAAGTTTGGAAAAGATAGGTTAGGTTCAAGTTAAGACAATTTTTTATTCTAACAGGGTGATTTGTTTATGAAATGAGTTGTCATCAGAATTAGCAAGGGCTGATACTTTGCAAGAATTTGAGAAGGGAATTTTTGATTTCCTGAAAAGTAAATGGTGGGTTTAATTTTTTTTTCTGAAGGGTGCAGTATAGGTTTTCAGAGAGTGCCTTGAATGATCAAATTGACCCTAATTATCTGTATGTTATGCTCTAACTACCTATCTTTTGTGAAAAGCTTAAATGTTTTTTTTTTTTTCTAAAATGTAGTGAATGAAAAGCAAGTTCTTGGGGAAAAAAATAAAAATCATACTAGCCTTTTATTGCTCGGAAAATGCTCAATGATTGTCATTGCTGTTGTCCTGTAGCTTTCAGTCAAATACCTGCAGTTAGTCAATCTTGTATACGTGTTTTGTAGAAATAAGTAGTTTGTATTTGAGCCAACGCTTGATAAGATGGACAACCATAGGCTAAAATTATGTGAATGAAAGTGAAAGATTTTTTGAGCCAAATATTTCTTAATTATTTGGATATAATCTGTTCATTATATGTTGCATTGCAATGTACTTTTCATGGAAGACATTATTGCATTATTTACTTTTATTTATTTATTTTGTGTGTTTATTATTACATTATCATGTTGTTATAGTTTTCTGTTGTCCAGGACAAAATAATATTAACATTTCATTCTGAAACCATTGTATATGAGCTAGATGCAACAATAAATGACATTATAACAATTGAAAGGATTTCTGAGAGGGAGGGGTGATATTGATTACATGTTTCAGAGTAATTAGACAACAGTTTATAATTGCTGTGTTACTTATGTAATTGTAATTGTACCTTTGGATATGATTGAATTGTAGAGCTCTTGGTTAGTGTATAAGTATAAAAGTTCTTTATGAAGAGTGAAGAACAGAAATAACTATTTTTCATTTTGGATAAAATGTAAGTTGTGAGCATAAATACACCAGGCTCTGAAAGGTGGTTATGGAATTTATTTTTTGAAATCCAGTGTCACATATTCATAATTTAGGTTCTTGTTACTGTACTGTTTTTGTGACTAAACCTACAGACAGTTGAAAATTAGATTGTTTCCATAATATAGTACAGAAAATGTTTGCTTTTGTAAAGTACAGTACACAACTTTATCTTTATTGCAATAGTAAATTAAAAATGATCTGTTGTTGTAAAGTTCTAGTTAGCTGGTGGACTGTGATTGATTCTTATCTGACTGCCTTTATTTTGAAGGAAGGATTAATTCCAAAACATCCTACCTCCTCTCACACTACAGCTATTACTGGACTGCTAGGGTTTCATTCCTTTGCCCCTCTAATCATTGGTCTGATTTTTCTCACTTGCTCCAGTCTTTTATTCCCCGTTTTGTTGCCTTTGGTGATATCTGTGTCATGACACTCTCTATCTATTTCAATGCACCCTCTATTCTGGTACTGTATATTAGCACCTTATTCATAAAATATTATCATTTTCTCTCGACAAAGTGTTCACTAATTGGTTCCTCTGTACAGACCATTAGAAATACTTTGAGCATTCTTTGTGTTATCTAGTTAATTTTTTTAAAAAGAAAAGAATTTCATTTGGCAAGCCACTATACACCATGATTCCTGAAATATTGTTTTCAGCACAGAGCTATCCCATCTCTGATATCTAGTGTCGCCCAAGAGTCAAGGGGGGGGGGGGTCACTGTCAGTTGAAGCTTTCCATGACCATATTTGTAGTGAGATGGAGATATATTC